AATACTAGCTCTTCTTTTCTTTCCTTTTCTGTACAGATATAGTGATTATTATGTGGTAATATTTATGTATTTTGAAATGTTTTCATCTCAGTACATTTTATTATGTTTGTGCTCCACTACTTCAATGTATGATTTAGTCATGTTTGGGAAAATGCATTTTAAATAATGTCTAACGCAATAAATTAAAATGACATTGATCTGGACCAACGAGACATCGTCACTGTTGTTGTTCATTCAGCCAGCAGGAAATATGTTAATTATTTACATCTCAAATATGTATCATCAGACTTAATTCTCTCTGCAGAACGTGAAGAGTTGAGCCACACGCCTCTGCAGCTCTTCCACCTAATCTTACTGAACCCGATCCATTCTGGATGAAAAGCTCTGAATTGCACACCCTGTGGAAAAATTTGTCTGTATTAGTGATTGATAATGGCTGATACCACTAATGTCTGATGGCAATCTATTACACTCATCAATGGTTTTTGAGCCATTTGAGATAATCAGCAGCTGATGCAGTAAAATAACTGCTGATGCCGCTTTTCACAGTGGTATTGCAAATTTATTGGCCTCATCAATTGGCTGACGCATTCATCTGTCCTTTAATTGCACTTATGGTTAACATAATTGCACTTGGCTGCAAAAATTTTGTGATCTTTAGCAGATAGCAGGAAAGTTACAAAATTAGTTTTATGTGAGTCTTGGTAAAAGATCAAGGCAACATGAAGAGATTAAGCATGGCTTCTTTTTAAACAAGGAGGGTAAATAATGTATCTCACTACCAGATCCAGCACAGTGTCGTCTCTCTCCAGCGCCGGTATCTCTCTCAGCCGCATGGATGACAAGACAGAGGACAACCGGCTGCAGCAGCACAAGGTGAGACCTTGACAATCCACCTTAAATGACACCTTTCTGCAGCTAAAATGAGTGAAAACGATGCATGGTTACACCACAATGAGATTGTGTGCATAGATTTTATTGGTGTTTTAGGAAAAAATCCTCCTAAAATGTGAGTGAACTGTGAAGAAATCCATACGTCAAGTCTCTTTGTGCTCCACAGTGTTGTTAGAGTTGAATAGGCTTGTGCATTAATTCTGCAGTGCAATGAAATAAACTGCCTGTCTGGCTGCCAGCCCATGACATAAAGAAGTGCACAGTGAATAGAAGGAAAGGGAGAGTGTAAATAAGGCAGTTTTGCAGCACATTCTTTCTTCAAATAAAACAATGAGGTCATAATTTTTTCCCCCCCAAGTGATAAATATTAATATTTTAACAAGCAGGACACAAATAAAAAGAAATATGCATAATTTTCTGCTGCTTTCCATGCAGGACGACGGAATCAAAGTGATCGACATTCAGACGCCCACTGTTTCACCCAGCACCCAGTCGGTGGGCAGTGCCAACAGCAGCGGCGGGGCCACGGATCTCTTCTCAAACTCTCCCAGTGTACCCATCAATAACCAGTGAGTCCAACTTCATCTTACTCTCTTACCATAATTCAGACTGCCCAGCCTCCGTTGTAAATTACATTAAAAGCCTGAGATGTAAATCTTCCCTTTTCTTTGGTTTTAGTGTGCCAAACCTGACCAGTGAGCTGTTCACCCTGCAGCCCAGCTTCACCCCCATCCAGACCACACACACTGTGCCCAACAACAACAATGCCTGGGGAGGTAGGACCGCACAAACAGCCAAACTCTTACAAACATGTAGCAGAGAATGCTGTTAAAGGCAGAGTAAAGAACATAAGGCCTATGAATATTGAAATAAGAAGAAATACTTTCTGTTGTTCTTCAGAGCAGATCAACTATTTTAAAACACTTTTGGACAACTGAAAATCCTTTTAGCCTTGCCTCTCTTAAAATCAGATTTGAGTACCATTTATGGATGATGTGACTTCTGGATCTGCAATGTGCAATGAAGCATTGTTAAATGTCTGTTTGCATGTCTCAGAGCAAAAATTTGATATATTGCCTGAATTTTAGTGTTCCAAAGTACCGTTTTTGTCACAAGTGGTCATTTCTCACTAATGTGGTGAATTTCAGTCACACTGAAATTAGTCACACATCAAGGCACTTTTAAATCCCTCCATTAATGCCTGTTTGTTAGGTCTCCACCCTGTTGCTCCCAGACATTTCTATCCTTCTCTTCACATGATGAATCATATAATAATGTTTACTTTATTAACCAAAGTTCAAGCTAACCACTTTGCTTTCCTTACTTTTCTTTTAGGCAGACATTATGTTATGTTTGCTTTCTCATTTGTTATCGTTCTGCAAACCTTTGGTTGCGTTCTCACCTGCTCTGCTCTTGTTTTTGCACTTTCAGATTATTTTAAAACATATTTCTTGATTTTGGTCTTGATAGTTTACATGTAGCTATTATGAGCCACAAGCCTGCACACAAATGAACAGTCAATGTTGTAAAATTGTGCCTTTTAGTTTCCCATTTGCTTAAAGATAAACAATAACCAGATGGAACCTAACTGACTCTAGCCTCATGTCTTGTACTCTTTTGCTCTCTTCTCTCCTTTTTTTCATTTTTTGGATGTCAGGAGACCTGTTAAAGCCGTCCCCACCAACTCAGATTCACAGTCCTGGAGCTCCGTTGCACTCTGGTAAAATGTTGCCCAATGATTTGGACGCTTCATTAGCAAACTTGGTTGGAAGTAAGTAAAATCAATCATTGTTGCTGCCATGTTTTCTTCTCTAGTTACTCCACTTCATGTAATTTGTGTTTCTTCTCTTAGACCTACAGTTTGGGGGCACACCGGCTAAAAAGTGAGTGAGCTAACCCGTAACCAAAAGGTTTTCGGTACATCTCAATAATTAGTAAAAGTAAAATTCAAATTTGATTAATTTGCAGAGTACCATATTTCAAGTTTATTTCTTTAACTTTGAATGATTATTGCTTACAGCTAGTGAAAACCTAATATATAGTTATTCAGACAGGTTGAATTTTACAGAAATAATTTTTTTTTATTACAACAATTTGGGCCTACAGATTTTTGAGTCCATGCAGTGCACAGTAAGTACCAGCACTTATTTTCTTGTTTTGTATGAATTACTGCATCATTGCGGTGTAACATGGAGCGAATCAGCCTGTGGCTCAGTTTTTTGACTAAAGCCCTTCAGCTCTTCTGCATTTTGGGCACCAATGATGGAGGCCATAATATAACATGAAGTCTATTACTGGATGGGTTTGCATTAACTGTAACCCATACTCATCAAAATCATCTTGAATAAATATTTGAAACATACTTAATGAATCTATATGATATCTGAGTTTGACTTTTTTAATTGATTAACTTTCCAATGACATTGTGATGTTTTGAAATTCATTTTTTTGTATGTAAATTGCTGTTCTGTGTGTGTTTCTGCATCAGGCCAGAGTTCCAGTGGAGCCAGCTGGTGGAGAAGAAACCCACAGGAGGGAGCGGCTGGCAGTCAAAGACGATGTGCACCAACACCAACTGGACTCACGCGACCCATCCCATGGCGCCTGCACCCATGCCCGTCCCTCAAATGGTAACCAGAGCTTCGTTCACTTTCGCTCATTGTTCTCAAATTTCAGCTTGGTGATTTTATCCAAAAATGCTCAGCAAGACAGAACTAGTCAGGCAGTTATTATGTGTTGGTTTCGTTGGTAATATTCAGTTCCAACCATCAATTTCTGCAAAATCAACCAGCATGAATTAGGGAGGACGAATGACATATCTAGATTAGTATGTCTATGCATTCTAAGCTTTGAAAAAAAAAAAGTCAATATAACAGAATTTATAGCAACAGCTGCAGCATACGTTTTGTTTTTCTCCATTTGTAAAAATAGATATGAAATTGTGATACTCTTAAATGACCACACATTTATTTATTGAAAATGGAAAATTATAAGTTTTGTTTTTTTTAACCTTTTTTTAAAAAAAAAAGGTTAGCAGTTCTAACTAATTTTGATTGGACTGAAGACAAAAATAGGTCTTTGGTTTGTAAAGGTTAGAGAGCCCCAATTCAGAGTCTCTAGTTTGGCATTATGATTGTTTTGCATGTTTCCAATGAGCCAAACTGTTAAACTTCTTTATCAAGAACTTTAAATTGCCCCTGGGACTTTTGGTTTTTGCATTTCCATTGCAAAAGAGAACTGTGCACTTACTTAATCAGTGTTAATGAAAAAAACATTAGCTAGAGCTAGTATAACTCAGTTTTAACGCTGTAACATTAGTTATTGCTTCTACTTAATTAAACGTGGTTTTATCTTTAGAGACATCAGTACCGCTGCATTGGAAGAGGCAGCAACAGTAAAACAGTAAAATCAGACCAATAAAGCATCAATCTGAAATTCTTAATCGCAGAAGTTACAATCTAAAACATCAATAAGAAGTAGAAACTGCAATCATAATCAATTTTCAAAGATAAAAACTGACTTTCAACAGCTATATGATGATTGATGTCTCTTTCACATCATCTTCATTCTGCAAAACTTATAGAGCGTCACACTCTACCGACTTCTGCGAAAAGGTGCAAATGGAATTTTAGATCAATTTCACCAACCCAGATTTACTTTCACTCACGTTTCCCAGAGAAAAAGAAACAAAAGAGACGTTAAAGTTACATTTTGAAACAGTTATAATTACCCCAAACCCAGAGAAAATGTGCAACGTTAGCAGATGTTTAATAAATGAAATCAGACATGATGTTACAAAACTCAACTTTTTCTTTTATATTTAAATGATTCAAGTCAGTGTTGTGTTCAAGACCACCTAACCCGAGACCA